AGCCCCGCGTGCCGTGGCCGTGTCAAACCGTGGCGCAAACACGGCGACAGCGCTGGGCGCGCAGGCCCTGCATCACCCTGCCGCCCCCCCCGGGGGTGGAACTGGCCCAGCCCAGCAGCGAGCCGAGCGGGAAGCGTGCTGCGCTACGGGAGGCTGAAAGGGCCTCAAGTCTGCAGCGTGCAGGGCAGCCTCTAACTCCAGTGCAATCCTGCTTCCTGGGGAATCGCAGCTCCTTAACCACTTCCGAAGCCCTGATACAGTTCCTCTTCAGGTACCCTGTCTACAGGAGACTCTGCGCTGCACCTGCATCACGGTCACGGGGCTGCGTGCTGCAGCGCTCGTGCACACCAGGGAAGGGCTTTTCTGTGAACACAGTACAAATCTGTTGAAGCTGCCACCCCATCACTGGGAAGTCCAGGAAGCAACCTCACTTCAGCCTTCCAGAGCACGTGCAAGAGGGACTGCCACCTTATCACAGGTCATTTCTTCCTCTTCCAAGTGCCCAGGACAGACCAGCTTGAAGTGGAAGAGGAAGAGCATCTGTCTTCCAGCAGGTACTTCTCCAGCACTGTTTGCCACACCAGGAGAGGGGATGGTCTGGTTAAGGTGCTGAACAGCCTGGGACCTGGATTCTGTCCTGCCTCCATACCCTGTGCAGGGCTGGCCACCCTGCAGCCCTTGTTCGCAAACAGGCCCAGCACGGCCAAGTCTCACTTGCGCATGCCAGAGCCAAGACTCAGGGTCCTGTTCGCAGGGAAACCCCGCACCTACCCTGTCGTGGTCTGACTGCTCACAGGAGGGAATTGCCTGGGTAAAAGGTGGGGTGAAAAGCACTGCAGCAAGTTGACTAGGGGCAGAAGTACTTCCCTTCCTTCCCCTTCATAGTCTCTCACCCCCCAGGTTTGCACGCTGACTAGCAGACAGGTACTGCTGTGACTGACTCTTGCTACGGGAAGAGGTTCACATACATTTTCTAAGCAGGTGCTGTCTTTATCCTTGTTGAGGTAATGCTGTTGCCAGAATCGCAGGAGACTGTGGAAGTTGTTCAGGATGAAGCCTGGGTATTTTTCTGTATATTCCATCTGTTGCAAAGTGCGCAGATAAAAAGGTAGCTTTTCTTTCCTTCGGGCCAGCATTAGGATAACTAAACTTGTGTTCAAACAACTGACGTTTTCCTAAAAGCAAGAATGAGAGTAGGTCAAACAACAACAAAAATCATCCAGATATCCCTACAGGTCCTTACAAAATGTGACTGTGGTAAGCATGCAGAGGAGGTGCTCCTGCATGTAGCAAGAGAAAGGACGTGGGTCTCCTCAAGAGACGCCAGGTTCCTCCCTGCTCCCAGCCCAGTTCATCACCACACAGCATTGGCACAATCTCTGCAAAGTTACTGTCAGCTCTTTACCTGCGTAAGTGTCTGTACATGAATAATATTAATGAGACGGAAAAGGAAGGACATTCTCATGGACATCTGGGACATATACGATAGCAGGCGGCACTCTGACAGGACTTCAGCAACTGCAGCAAGAGGAAAAGACAATCCATCAGGTGCTTAAAGTTCAGGCACGTTGGTCCAAGCAACACTGCAGTAAGAACTGGTGCTCAGACCGCAGCAACAAACCTGCAAGCTGGCATTTCATTGTCCAAAACTAAAATTTTCAAGGCCCAGGCTTAAAACAACCATTATCACTACCAAGCACAAGCCAGCCCCATTTCTTATTCTTTACCTTTAGCATCAGACTGATTCTCAAATCGGTCCAGGGACAGCGTAATGCAGCGAACAAGCATGTTTGAGTCAACCAATGAACTGTTGATCTGGTTTAAAAATATCTGGAACTAAAGAGAAATACTTTTTGCATTAAAAAAAAAAACCAGAAAAGGCATCCTACATGAACACTCACAGACGAGGTCTGACAGAACAGCATTTCACACCTCCTCAGAATGCGTACGGCCAAGGGGTGGCACACAGGGTACATGCGAACAAGCATGTTTGAGTCAACCAATGAACTGTTGATCTGGTTTAAAAATATCTGGAACTAAAGAGAAATACTTTTTGCATTAAAAAAAAAAACCAGAAAAGGCATCCTACATGAACACTCACAGACGAGGTCTGACAGAACAGCATTTCACACCTCCTCAGAATGCGTACGGCCAAGGGGTGGCACACAGGGTACATGTCAGCAAAAGGTCTGACAGAACAGCATTTCACACTTCCTCAGAATGCGTATGGCCAAGGGGTGGCACACGGGGAACAGGTCAGCAAACCCAAGCAGGAAGACCTACAGACAGGGTTCGGCAAGTAGGGCAACAGTAAGCGTTCTCCAGATTTTTGACACAGACGGAGTACAGCTCTTGAAGGTTATGGGAGAAGTCGCCTTCAATTCTGAGCACAAGCACCTAAAACATGCAGCTCATCAGTGTAAGGCACCACAGGCATGGACAATTTCCCCTTCCCTTCAGATATAAGAGTTAGGTTTGTAATGCCACAACTTGCTACCTTTAATCGTTCTCTCTAACAAGAGTAAGAGGAGATACACACTCCTGGGCCTGTCTCATCCAGCCCAAGCCGATCTGGCACTGAGGGCTGACAAAGGATCCCTACAGCAAGTACCTTAAGAATCCTAATGAGCAGAAAAATGCCAAACTCCTAACATCACTAAAGTATCTTCTGAAGCTGTGCCACTTCCACGAGACCAAGATTTCACACGCTATTCGTTTGGCAAGAGGGAGATGAGACAGCACGGCTGCTGGCTTCTGTAGTTCCTCCAGCTCCGTGCTTTCCATACAAACAGACTGTGCTGGAGAGGAATACAGTGAGGGATTCATACTGAATGAAAACTGGGACTTTTTACAAGGGCCTGTAGTGACAGCACAAGGGGTAATGGGTTTAAACTGAAAATGGGGAGGTTTAGATTGGATATCAGGAAGAAATTCTTCCCGGAGAGGGTGGTGAGGCACTGGGACAGGTTGCCCAGAGAAGCTGTGGATGCCCCATCCCTGGAAGTGTCCAAGGCCAGGCTGGATGAGGCTTGGAGCAACCTGGTCTAGTGGAAGGTGTCCCTGCCCATGGCAGGGGGGTTGGAACTAGATGATCTTTAAGGGCCCTTCCAACCCTAACCATTCTGTGGTTCCGTGATAAAAGAAGTTCTACATCAGTAAACAGGAAGTAAACACACAAAGCATAAAGACAGATTCTCCAGAATGTGTGAGTTAATTTTTCAGAAAGCAACCTGAAATCAAACACATCTTTCTTTCCAAATACACCTCTGCTTCTATTCTCCACGGTCTGCCAGACCTAACAGCAACCAGAGAAAAATTACTGTAACAACGGCAAGAGTATGAGGTCATTCAAGTGCACGAGCATGAAACCGCTCTGCACAGAGCTGCCCGTTCTTGATCTACATATGCAGCTGAGTTGTGTAGGTAATTACATCAGCCATGACTTAAAACGCCTGTGAGTTCAAATGACATCAAAGGAAAGATATGCCTTTTTGCAGTATCAAAAATTAATGAATACTTTAAGTCATCTGCATAAAGAATCACTCCCAAGCTCCAGTAAAATATTTTTTGGAGCCTGTCTCAATGCCCACAGCTACCACCTTAACCCACAACCCAGTGACTTCACAGGAAGTGTTCCACTGCCTTTGAGCCCTGACCTTAGGCCTGCCTGATCACGTAACATGGCCATGTTCCCTCAACAGCTCAGGGCTTGCTGACTCAGAACAGCTGGGAGCACTTCTGAGGGCAGGAGCGTATGCAGCAACACACACGCTCGTGAAGAAACTTTGGCAGCTTGCTCCTTAGTGTTTATTGTGCACCAAGCTCAACAATCGCACCAAAATCAGCCAACGAATCCAAGATTCTTAGCACTACGTTTGGTTAGACGAGCATGTAGTTCAACTCACTGGGGACAGCTTTTACAAACATTTACCTTCTCATCTGTGTTGATGTACTTGTTGAACCTCTTGAACGCATCAATGTTGAATTTCATCAGCTCTCCCAGAAGGTCAAAGTAACTCTGAAGCACATCTCGCGATTTGCACTCACTGTCAACAATGCAGTAGAGAATATGCTGGCGCGGGAGGAAAACAGGTTATTGCCACACGTTAGCTCAGGCCAGCAGCAGCACACAGACTCTGATTTAGTCCCCATTTAAAACGCTTATCTGCAGGTTTAGCTCTTAGGTGACAGAACTAGGGACAACAACTCAGGTGAGTCTACTGTTGCAGTAACTTCCCAGCGACGCAGGCTGTACCACCGGCCGCCTCACACCCAGCTGCCTAAGCAGAATTCACAAACACTTTTTAAAAATGGCCCTATCGCCAAGGAATATTTAACACTACACTTCTACCCCTTTTTGAACTCATTACGGATAGATCCTTCCCGATTGTGGCAGAGATGCGTTACAGAGGAAGCTTGACATGCACTTCCTTACCTCCAGGAGCCCTCTCTTCAGCAAGCAGGAACATCTGGTCTGCATAGGAGGTGGTGCCTCGCAGAAAACTTTCAACTGCCCTTGCTTGCCAAAACCTGAGAAACAGAAGAAATGAGGGTTTAATTTAACAACAACTTTCCTAATATCTTTCATTCCAATCTGAAGCTGGAGTCAGACCTGTTGATCCTGCAGAAGATGACTGTACTGGGTATGAGGTCCAGTGCAAGCTCTGGCATTCTCCCTCACCTGCACTGCCCCTGTAGCCATGTCCAACAAAGCCAGATCTTTGCACAGCTTACGATTTTCAAGCATTTTTGACTGCTATAAGCTGCATGGAAACAAACCAACTTCCCAGCCAACTCAAAGAGCATGTTACAGTGCAAAGCAAACCCACCTGAAGGAGGATTCAGCTGGTTCCTTCTTCATGACCTGAAGCAGTCTGGTCAACAAACCTCTCTTCCCATCACAGACAAGGCTCCTAGAGCACGTGAAGAAATTGCAGCATGAGTGGAAGGGCTGGCAAGCCCTATACCTTGTAGAACACAGTGTCCAGTCTCTTCCCAGAGCTTTTAAAGATCAAAATCCCAGTATTTAATATACAGTACAAATACTGATTAACTTTCGTTAATAGTTCTACCAGTGGAAGTTCTCCTCACTGCCTTTGGTAAATGTCCTTGATACCTGCAACACGGCTTCCAAATAAATCCTAAAGAAAAATCATTCACTTTCTGTCAAAATCTTAATGATTTCAGAAATACCAATTCACAGGTTGTAGGAATTAAGTTTAGGAAAAAACCAAACATATGCCACACTTGAGTGAGGAATGAAACACACTCCCCCCTTTGCTCACCAAATGTAAAGGACGCTCTAAGTTCCGTTTAGGAGGTCGAGCATGGAAACGTAGAAGCTACGTGAGGTAGCCTTCTTCTGTATGTACTAGTTAACAGTGTAGAGGGCGTAGAACTGCAATACTACTTGTATTAAATTGTATCTTGAGGGGACTATCTACCTGCAGTAAGCTTGTGCAGAAGCAACGCACTGATCTCGCGTATCAGGAAAAACAACGCGGAAACAAAATGCTAAAGGTGAAAAAGAAGTTTAGGCCAGAAACTGAACAACCCTGCGGGGCTGGCTACACGCACCATCCCACACAGGTAGAACAAGGTGCGTCAAGTGGCACTCTTCTACCCAAAACCCCACCCCGGCACGCGTACTCAGCGGATGCGCTCAGGTCAATGGCTACGTGCTGCACCGCCGCCTTCGCCGAGCGGCCAACAGCCGGCTGACGGAGCGGAGCGCCGTGGGACGCTGCTTTCTTGCGGCGTGACAGTCGGTTCGTACTAACGCTCGGGAGAGATGAGAAACGTTGCAGGCTGGAAAAAGCTTTTACGCCCTTGATCGCTTCCTTTCAGTGTGTTCCTAACAGGGTGCATTTTTCCCCCTAAATACTCAGTCCTTTTCAAACAAAGCCAGACTGGTACCTGTGCTTCGGAAGCAAAGGGTCAGAGTAATCCAGACACCGATTCTTCCCCATGAGGCACAGTCTAGAAATCCTCTTAGAGAATTCCCTTTTGCAGCGAGGTAAATCTGCTCTGTGCAGAGCAAGTCCCCACTGATGCTCTGGGACTACGCTGACAACTGACTTCTGCAAATGTCTCACCTTGTGAGGTTTCTGTACCAGAATCGTGTATGAAAGAGAGTATTAAATCAAAATAGTCAATCTAACAGATACTCAAATATAACACTAGAGATTCTATGAGTGGTTTAATATGTTAATCTAATTTAGCTTATTCTAGTTATTAGCTGCTCTTAAAATAAAGGCCCTGAGCAGACACACTTAGATCTGTTTATGCAGACTGGAAATGGACATTATGTGTGCACAGACTGCTCCTGAACCTCAAAACTCAGCATTCATGCATTAGAGGGATCCCCGTTTACTTTCCAGGTCTGTTTGCAATGCCTGTGGTAAGAAAGGCCAGAGAAACGGGCACACCTAGCACATCATCATGGAGTCTGGGCCATGAACTCAACTCCCGCATTTTCTTTTTAAAGCGCTTTACTCTGAGTTCAAACACACTTTAGATTTGCTGATGACCAAAATCACACAACCGTTCCTG